GTAATTTTAAATATAAATTCTTAAATATTATAAAATATTTTAAATAATAAAATAATTATTAAAATTAAAAAATTGGATCCAGATTACCGACCAACGTTGGTCGGTAATCCAAAATTTTCTTGTTTGAGACCAATTTACCGACCAACGTTGGTCGGTATTTAGTTTTAAAAAAATATAAAAAAAAAATTTCCCAGTTTCCGTCCAACCTGGACGATTTTTGGTCGCTTTTTTTGACCGACTAACTTTGGTCGGAAATATTTGGTCGGTTTTAGCAGATTTTTAGTAGTGTTAGCAAGTCATCACCATAATATACAGTACAAATTTAATTTCATTTAAAGCACCATATAAATAGATGCGGAACTAGAATTTAAAGTATATGAGTTTTGAACTTGTCACTGAATCTATAGCACGTCTTAGTTACTGCTATTTGTATTTATATATATTTAATGAATTTTCTAATACAAATACAAAGTCTAAGTAAAATCTACTGACTTTGTCCGGACCCGTAAATAATACTTTGCCTCCGCCCCTCCCTATAAATCTCTTGGATGTGCAAAGAAAGATTGCATCACACTTTCAACTAATCTTCAAATAAGTACTAATACTATTTTTTTTTACTAATATCCAATTTGTTTATTACCCCTGAGCTCAAAAGGGAGGTCATCAATTGAAATAACTTAACAATTAGATTTATTGTACAAAATCATAACCAATCCAAAAACATAGTTTTTGTCATCAGCTTTAATCATGTAATTGTAGCTTTCATATGGATATATACTATAGTGATAGCAGCAGCTCCAAGTTTGGTGTCCCACCTTGAAATTGGACTACCAAATTCAACTAAGGAACTTGTATTAGCTGAGGATGTCATGCCACTAAAAGTGTGTAATAGTTGAAATTTAAGGGACCCCTTAAAAAGAAGCAAATGTTGCCTAAGCAGTTGATCAGTCAAAGGGATATCAAACCAATCTACTTTCTCTTGAATATTTTTTATTTAAGAATTTGACACATGAAACACTAAGAAAATGTAGTACAATAACAACGATAACTCAATTCTAAACAGGTCGACTATATAAATCATTTCTTACCATATGGTGTTAAATGCTGTACTCTATTCAGTTTTTTTTTATATAAAAAAAAATTAGTTCGTTCAATCACAAAAATTCTTATTTAAAAAAGGCATAAGGAAAATCATGCAAGTCTTTTTATGGGTTCATACATCAAAATAGCATCGCACAACAGCAATAACAATATATCCATTACCTAGTATATTTTCACATACGAGATCTGGGCAGGGTAGTGTGCAGTGGCAGATACAGGATTTCTGCTAAGGTTGTTCAAAAAAGGAAAAAAATAAAAAATTAAAACAAAAAGTGACTAATGGGAATTGAACCAACAACCTAACAAAATTTTTGAACTCTCTTGACTAATGACATATGTTTTTGGGTTGTGTCAAGGGAATTCAAACTGAATTTTACGTTATATGTACAGTATAATTTTTCGGTGAAGGAGCTTCGGGTGAACCCCTTTCCGCCCTCTAAATCCGTCATGTTAGTATGTACACAAACCTTACCCTTATTTTATGCAGGCAGGGGGCGAGCAGAGTCACAACCATAAAGTTGAAATGAAATATCAATAAAAGAAATCTTCTTTTTTCTTAATTTTTTTAATGCTTTTGACTTTAAAGGACTTATAGTTTGTGGGGAAGAATTCAGTTAAACGCACTTCCCTAACTGAAGTGACATTGGTGAGGTTGGTGGAGTTGGGGTATTTGATAAAATAGCAGATTTGCAAGTTTAGTTCACCAACTAAACGATAAAATCTATTTTCAGCCAATAGGTCTTGGTTTGCGCCTTGAGATTAGTTTAGATTTTCTGCTTACGGTACATAACTAATTCATTAACAACAGTAACCCGACCGTTGTACATACACAGAATTAAAGTTATATACACTTACAAGGTAAAAAATATTAAACTATCAAAGCAATTTAATCGATTATTACTCTATTTAGAAAGTATGATATATATGTTGAGGGTCTATCGAAAAACAGTCTCTCTGTCTTAGAGTAAAGTCTGCATACACACTATCATTCCCAGACCTCACCTGTAAGATTACATTGAATTTGTTTTTGTTGTTGTTATTAGAAAGTATGATATATGATGCTTGACATGAAAAATTATCTTTTATTATAAATCAATTTAACTGATAGAAAATTCTACCCTCTCAATACATATAATATAAAGTTAATTAGATATGTTGTTGGGCAAAACATGGCCTAAATTCTTTTTATTTTTGTTTTTCGATTTTCTAGGAGGGGATTAATAAACTATGGCCTCCATCCATTTCTTTATGCAGAAAGCAATATGGCGAAAAAATGGTCATGTGGTTAACCAAGTCAAACTTTAACAATAACCTAGAATAGTTGCCGCACTCAACTGAACCATTTGAGTTAAGAATTATCTACAATATTCATCAAATAGTTTAATATAAAGATCAATTACTGCAAGTAACTATTAATAAATATGTTGTTTATACCAAAAGAAATAACAAAACTTAGATTATTGAATTTTCCTGCATCCAATTTCATACACTATAGCATGTTTAGCCAATTTCTGGAAAGTTGTATTTTTTTTATTTTTTTGAAAAAATGGTTTCTTTAGATTCTAGAGTTTCAAAATAAGCAAATTTAGGAAGCTTGGCTGCAAAGCATTCGACGTGTGGGAGAACAAGATTGAACTTAACAAGATATACCATACATATATACAAGATATATGCATAATTTTGCGACGAATAAATGTGAAAATGATGGTTTACTTATATATAGTTCAAAAATCAAACAATTAATGGGGTGGCTGAGGTCGGGGAGAAGCAGTGTGACTTTAGTATTACATTAATAGCGTAAAAATATTTTACAATATTAATGCAATTTTACTGATTATAGCATATCATTGATTTATTTATCAGGTAATATGTCAGGTTTAGTAGGCAGAACTATCTATTGTTATAAGTCAAATTTTATAATCTTATAATATAAGAAGATTTTTACTACTAGTGCATGTGAAAATTTGAAAGACAAGCCAAATGATTAGGGTCTCAATCGATGACTCAATATAAGAAGTTAAAACAAATTAAATAACGAACAAGAGAGTGTTCATAATTAGCGGACATAATTGAACATCAACTTCACATTTTCCAAAATTCTTATGGGCAAACATCCTTTTCATCTACCAAGCTAAGAAAATAAAAATTCTTTGGAACTGCTATAGATATCACTAATTTTCAGTTTAAAAAAGTCTTTTCTCAAAATGTCAATCCAAGATCTCAAAAATTCTTAGAAAAATATTTATTTTTAGATTGGAAGTCGAATAACAAGAGAATAGTCAGCATACATCTTATAGTCGAATAAAGCGAAAATATTTATAATTGGACTAGTTCGTTCGTACATATGGGAGAGGATGGTGGAGAAGAGAGTGAGGACAGGTGTATCTATATCTGAGAATCAGTTCGGATTTATGCGGGGATGATCAATCACAGAAGTCATTCACCTTGTGAGATGATTGGTGGAGCAATATAGGGAGAGGAAAAAGGACTTACACATGGTGTTCATTGACCTTGAGAAGGTTTATGATAAAGTCCCGAGGGAGGTGCTATGGAGGTGTTTGGAGGTTAGTGGAGTCCCGGTAGCGTATATTAGGGTGATTAAGGACATGTATAAAGGCGCTAAGACTTGGGTGAGGACTACGGGAGGAGACTAGGAACATTTTCCAGTGGAGATGGGGTTACATCAGGGATCAGCCCTTAGCCCGTTTTTATTTACACTAGTGTTGGATGTCTTGACACGTCACATATAAGGGAGGGTGCCATGGTGTATGTTATTTGCTGATGACATAGAACTGATTGACGAGACGCGATGGGTGTTAACGCTATGTGGGAAGTTTGGAGAAAGACGCTGGAATCCAAAGATTTCAAGTTGAGTAGGTTAAAAATTAAATACTTGGAGTACAAGTTCAGTGAGGAGAGACATGAAGAGGAAGTAGAAGTTAAGATTGATACTCAAGTCATTCCCATAAGAGATAGTTTCAAGTATCTTGGGTCTATAATCCAAAGCAACGGAAAAATTGACGAGGATGTTACTCACCGCATTGGAGCGGGTTGGATTAGATGGAGGCCAGCTTCGAGGGTTTTATGTGATAAGAATGCACCGCCTAGACTTAAGGGCAAATTTTACAGGGTGGTGGTTAGACCAGCTATGTTGTATGGAGCTGAGTGTTGGCCCATCAAGAAGTCTCATGTCCAAAAGATGAGCGTAGCAGAAATGAGGACGTTGAGATGGATGTGTGGTCATACCAGGAAAGACAAGATCATGAATGAAGTTATTAAGGACAAGGTGGGAGTGGCACCCGTGGAAGCCAAGTTACGGGAATCGAGGCTGCGATAGTTTGGGCATGTGAAGAAGAGAGATATAGATGCCCCGGTTAGGAGGTGTGAGAGGTTTACCATGGCGGGCTTGAGGAAGGGCAGGGGTAGGCCTAAGAAGTATTGGGGAGAGGTGATTAGGCAGGACATGTCGGTGTTTCACCTAACCGAGGACATGACTAGCGATAGGAAGGCGTAGAGGTCGATGATTAAGGTGGTGGGTTGACAAGTAGTTGCGAGTTTTTCATAGGTTCACCAGTAGAATTAGTAATATTCTTGATGTGGGTTGAAAGTTACTTCCCTATAGTTTTTTATTGTATCTGGTACTTTGCAACCACTTCCTTTGTTTTTGTAAATTGCTAGTGGAATTGTTGCTCTCTGATTGTTACTATTTGATATTACTTTTTCTTTTCTTTTACTGGATATTGTTGCTCCATGATGACTACTATTTGATGTTACTTTTTCTCCTCTTTGCTTATCGCCTTTCTCCCCTCTTCTCTCCTCTTCTTCTCCCCTATTCTTCCTTTCCACCTTTTCTTGAGCCGAAGGTTTATCGGAAACAGCATCTCTACCTCTCCAGGTAGGGGTAATGTCTGCGTACTTACTATCCTCCCCAAACCTCACTCGTTAAATTATACTGGGTATGTTGTTGTTGTTGCTGCTGTTGTTCGTTCGTGCATCAGAAAAGTTAACATACGCCTCATTTGAGTTATTATTGTACGGTATATATTTTCACAAAACTCAAAAATTTAAATATTGGGAATTTCTAATTTAGACCTCTTTTGAGAAAGGGCCTCATCACACACGGGGACACCAGTTAATCCAGCTAGATACTAGTTTATCCGGCGGATATACGAGTATTTAATACGAAGAAAAGACTCGTATAAAAGGTCGGAATGAAAACTTTCACCTTAATTCAGATGAATTGATGCATATCTATTTGAACAGGAGTGGACAATGAGAAGACGTAAATGAGCAAATGATGCAAAATTAATTTAATGTAATGTCTCTTCATTGACTTGCTTTTTAAAGAAATTTTAATTTCCTCTCAGGTGATACTAACATCTTAAATTTTATGTTGGAATGAATTTATGTTATATAAAATGAAGCGGGGGGAATACAATTCATTTAGAGTTACTTTCAATAATTATATGGTAATTATCTAATTTGTTGGATACATAAAACAATTCACTAGTTTTGCTTTCACGATTCACACACATTTCTAATTATTGTTGTGTCGTCTTTATTTTATTTTTATTCTTTTTTGTAGATTTTCCAAGTAAATAAAGGGTTGACTCTGGTTTCTAAAGGAAGCAAAAGATAAAGAACCAGCTAAGCATGCGGGTATTATGCGCCATTATCATCGGTTAATGCACATGTTTTAAATTTGATTTATCAAAGTGAAACAAAATCATGATTTTGAATTCTAAAACACTCAATTTGTTTTTCACTTTAATTAATGCTTCAATGTTTTCCAATAAATGCCTCGTTTTCATACGTTATGCTAAAAAATAATCCTTTGCTTCGGCTTAATGCCTAAATTCCATTTTCGAGTGTTAAATTTGCCGGGAATACTTACTAAATATACTCTCATCGGCCTTATTCTTTGTTAATGGTAGGGGTGTACAAAGAAAATCGATAATCCGAGCCAAATCGAGAAAAAACATTCGATTGTGGTTTGGTGTTTGAAAAAAAATCCGACCATAATTGGTTTGGTTTGGTTTGGTTTAACTAAAAAAAGTCAAACCGAAACCAAATCAACTCGACATTACATTTATACAATTTAAAAAATTTATGCATATAATTATATATTGTAATATAATTTATAAATATTTCATAAACTTGTTCACAGTTTTATCTTTAAAAGTATTATTTAAAGTTTGGACTTAACATTCTTGAATGGTCCAATAAATTTTATGGCCCATAAAGGTAGTAAGTCAAATAAAGTTCAATTCAATACATCTCTAGGAATGACAATAGTGTTGTATATCTATTCTTTAGTTTTGTATTGATTTATAATGAAAATGTATAACCTAGTTTATCTTCTTTTTTTTTTTTATACGTAGTTGTGTAATTAATAGTACTTATTAGTTGTACTTATTTTAGCACGACATATATAGTATTTTTAGATTATGTTAATTTTTATTATGGTGTATTAATTAGTAATATTTTTATTTGTGCGATTTCATTATCTATGTTATTGAATATTTTAATACAATGTTATGACTCATCTCATATTATTATTTTATTTTCTTGAAAAATACATTATATAGTTGCATCCTACTAGTACTAAACTAAATATTTGGAGCACAAGTTACATGTTTTCTGCTATTAAGACTTTACCGGAAAAAAACCGAAAAATTCGAGATTGAAAAACTCAACTTTATTGGTTTGGTTTATTTTATAAATTTAAAAATCCGACACCATTAGTTTGATAATTAAAAAATTCGAACCAACCCGTCCTATGTACACCCCTAGTCAATTGTCATATTTGCCAAAAAAATGATTGTTCCAAAATGTTTTTCGTTTGAGAAAACAGCTTTTTTTTTTTTACCCTTAGTATTAATAGAGTGAGCATTTATTGAAGGAAAACATTAATAGCCCATTTGGCCAAGCTTCTTAAGAAGTCAAAAGTATTTTTTTTTTCTTTCTCAAAAGTACTTTTTTTCCTAACTTGAGGTGTTTGACCAAGTTGTTTTGGGGAAAAAAATTATTTTTGAGAAGAAGCAGAAGCGCAGTTTTTGAGAAGCAGAAAAAAGTAGCTTATTCCCAAAGGCAAAAGTAGTTTTGACTTTTCTTCTTACCAAAAATACCCTGAATAAAATATAGTATATACCAAAATAACCGTTAAACATAATACTTAGGATATTAATGTATAAATATTTCTTATTATTTTTAGGATAGCTTTCTAATATATAGTGACTTCAGGGGTGAATGTTTTTATATTTGTTGAATGAGTTTTAATATATTTAACTTATATTAAAAGAATTAAGTACTTTTAAATTTTATTTTCATATTTTACTTAAATAAAATAAAAAAAATAATTATTGCATGTAATAATAAATTTTTAAGATTATTTATTTACTTATAATATTAACTATTAAGTAAATCTATTCATGTCCTTATTCAGAATTTGATAATTAAAAATACTTTCTAAAAAGCTTGTCCAAACACAAATTATTGTTCAAACGTGCTTTTCAGAGTAATTAGTCAAACATAAACTGTTTCTCTCCAAAAATACTTTTTTCGAAATCACTTTTTAAAAAAGTACTTCTCAAAATAAGTTGATTTCTTAAGATTGGCCATACAGGATATAACGTGGTGAAAGAACAAACAGTAAATAGGGATTAAAATCATCCAATAACTTTATTAATGTTTTTAATGTGACAAGTAAATAGGACTAGAGGGAGGATAAGACAAAATATATCCAATTTGTTTTTCTTTTTGCGAGACACATCAGTAAAATGTGAATTTTTTTCTTTCTTTTAAATGGTCTTCCCTCTTAAAGACTAAATGGGCATATTAGTGCCACATTTTTATTTCTATACTTGCACGGGGAATTGGGTTGCTGCATTTCCACATCAAAAAGGGATTTTCTTTCCACAAAATCTAGATGATAGTTACTTTTGTTTTCTTTTGACTTAAACCAAACAGTGTAGGAATAGGAATAGTTGAACGGAAAGACACTTACGGATAAGTAAAACTAGTATTTTATACAAATTTATTACTGTCTTATCTTTTGTTTAATTACTAATTTTAAAAAAAGTTATCCCATAACTAAAAATAAAATTGCGATAACTTATAACTACATAATTAACTTCATGATAAGTTATCCGAGGATAAAACGGTAAATTTACAATCGCATGATTAATACTGTCACGACCTAAAATCCAACTAGTCGTGATGTCACTTAACCCAATCCGCTAGGTAAGCCAGTTAACAACAAATCAGTTCAAATGATATTTATTAAGAGAAGAAATGATAATACAACTCAAATGTTATATAAGAATTCTTAAGGACCGGTAGTACAAATCATGAGCTTATAAGATTTAGAGTTTACAAAGCTAGTATGAAATAAATACATCATCTGTCCAAATGTACATAAACAGATTTTCATAAGTCTAGGACTACCATGAACAAGAGGCGCATGTAACTGGAACACAGGTACGTCTTCAATGCTAGCTTCCGTCATACACAACAATATCAGCGTCCAAAATCTGCATGCAAGGTGCAGAAGTGTAATATGAGAGTACAACCGACCTCATGTACTCAATAAGTAACAAATCTAACCTTAGGTTGAAAATAGTAACGAGTTAGGACAAATGTCACAGTCCAACTCCAATAACCAACAATAATTCATAACAATAAAATAAAGATGGTACAAGAAATAACTCAATAAATAAATGCTCACCTTGTATACAATTCCGGAAAATAAATATTTTCTTTTCAAGTATAATAGTAAAACTCAAATCTTTTGCCGAAATCACCGAAAGTATGAGTAAGTGTGAAATCTCTGATTTTTCTCAAAACTTTAGCGACGAATAAGAATTTCCATTATGAGATGGCATGAGAAAAAATACTTCTCTACGCCTACGTATCAAGTATACATGTCTAATGCAATGCAGGACAGTGATGACCTCATATACTTACACTCTCAGAGTACTTAATTTCACTATCTCACATTTCTACTCATCACGCTCAATATTCGGCACACTCAGTCACTCGGCACTGTACAGGGCAGATCTAACCCAAATATAAATGATAACTCGTGCAAAGTCACTCAGTACTATATATGGCCAATCCAACCTAGAGAAGATCCATCCCAAATATATATAAATATATATAGGCCAAATACATAGACAACCCCTTAAACATGGCTCCAGTTTCTATTTTGACACTTATTCTTTGCCTAGCACCTATTGAACACTTTATGTTATTTAAAACTATGCCTATTGAACACATTAGGTGACATGGAACAGTACGTGTTTCTCACTTTACATTAGGCGCGTAAAAATGACTTAA